AAATTCATTCACGATGTTCTTAACGTCTCACGTACGATTCGATACCGTTACAGTTATCTCCACACTCGAGCATGGTACTCCCCTCCAGCTTATCGAAAGTCGCGAGCACAATCAGCGAACCAAAAGTTGCATTATCTCGCCGACTGTAAACTTGTATCACACGTATTCACAACATCGACTGATCTCGTCATAAGCCAATTTCACCAATTCCTCATGATAATTCTAACTATCGTCTATCGTCTATGAGTCTCTGCAATATCGCGAGCCTTCTCTCGATGCGAAACGCCGAAAGCTGTGAGTTTGGTTCCAGCTCGACCGCTAGTGCGCCAACGTCACAGTATGGCACGGAAAGTTCGCTTTTGCCAACAGCGACACTGCGAAGAGGACCACCTCCTCCTTCTCCTCTCTCTCTCTCTCTCTCTCTCTCTCTCTCTCTCTCTCTCTCTCTCTCTCTCTCTCCTTTTCTTTCTCGCGAACGAGCGAGCAGACCATACACTCAGCGAAAGCTCAGCTCGCTGTCGCCGCGGAGACTGCAAGCCCGCGTCTCAGGCGGTGCCGTATGGGCCGCACCGGCTGTTCCCCGGCGAGCTTACGGCCGGAGCTTTCGAAATCGAGGCGAGGCTTGCGGCCTCGGTTCGTGCCGAAGCAGCGCCGATCGGCCGATCGACCGATAGCCGGCCATGGCGCGCCTCGAACGCCAGTCGACGGGTCGTTGTCCTGTGACGCCACAGAAAGCTTTGTGGCTCGCACTGAGCTTGCAGCCATCACCAGCTGCCGATGGCGTTGGATGGCGCGGCCGGGGATAGGGAGGGTTGGAGGGCGACGTAGCTAGGCTGTTGATGACGTCACGCGTGGTAGACGCCACCGATGGACCAAACATGCGAGAGGGGGTAAGAGTTCGAGCGCCTCCGTGATGTCATTGACTAAACGACGTTGCGCTGTTTGGGAGGGAGTACCGTGCGAAAAGAGATATGACGGAGGAGGGGGAGGAGGAGGAGGAGAAGGAGGAGGAGGAGGAGGAGGAGGAGGAGGAGGAGGAGGAGGAGGAGGAGGAGGAGGAGGAGGAGGAGGAGGAGGAGGAGGAGGAAGAGGAGGAGGAGGAGGAGGAGGAAGAGGAGGAGGAGGAGCAGCAGCAGCAGGAGGAGGAGGAGGAGAAGGAGGCAGTGGCGAACGTTTCAGGAACAGAAGAAGGGGGTGGAATACGAGCACGGGGCTATTCTTAGATGCCTCAAAACACCGTCCTCGCGCCGACCGCGAGCCGTGTTGCGTAACTACGTGGGAGAGCTTTTCTGAAGGAGGTGCTCGCGAAATGGCTATCGCGAAAGAAGAGAGACAGACGGGAGAGGGAGAGGAAGAGGGAGAGGGAGAGGGAGAGGGGGAGAGAGAGAGAGAGAGAGAGAGAGAGGGAGAGAGAGAGGGAGAGCAAATATCACGGTGACGTAATTTCTATCAGCTGGTTCGATTTCTTTTTTTCTCGATCAAAGTGCATTATTGAGAGTTTTCAAGTTTGTGAACGATTCTGAAAATCTGAGAAAGAATAATGTCAAGTACCGTCACGCGTTGCAACCAGAGCTGTTACTGTTGTTATCGCGACGATATCGATCGACCTTACAAACTATGATAAGTCAATTTAGCAAACTAGTACTTGCCCAGCAAGAAGTTTCCTTGCTGCAGCGAAATCGATTTGTCAGTAATGTCTCTTCATCCCTGACAAGTTCGCTCCATTAAGCGCAAAAGGACCAACTCGTTGATGAACGAGTGTTATCAGGATCAGTGTGGCAGGATAATTGATGCACGCCAACTCTTATCTATCCGCAATCTTTGCAGTCCGGAGCTCATTAAGAAAAATCACCCGTTTAATATGAATCATGAATTTTTTACCGCGTTACGTTATCCATAAAAGCGAGCCGGTGGTAGGCAACTATCAATTACGCCGTCGCGAATTATATACAGCGGCAATTTATCCGTTTCCGCAAGCTCGGCACGATTTTATCATTCATTTCAGTTAACCATTGTCGAAAAGAAAACTAAAAAATCAATTGGTCGAGGCAGAACGCATTTTTACACCAATTTATCATCCTTAGTTTTAATAACAGAATTCTTGCGGGGTGCACCGGGGAGGGTTTCTTAATGTTTGCTCGAGAGGTTTGGTTCTCTGTTAAAAATTCTAATTTGAATTCAGCAAAAGTCCCTCTTTTGTCTCTGTCGTCTCGGCTTTCGTAACTATCAATACATATTTCAACCGTTAAAAGTTTCGCGTAATTAGCCAACTGTAGCTCTCTCTGTCCAATGTGCAAAGTCGTAGTAGTTTCAAACTCGACAGACCATTGATTAATTTTCCATGCTCGTACTGTCGTAACGTCGAGACTAACGTCGGTGAATAGAGAGACTCATCCAAGGACGTTATACGCGCGACTTTACAAAGCTGGCGTTGCGTTAATTCTCACGAAACTCGCGCGCGTTTTTTCCATTGTCTCGTAGATCGATTCTTCGGTAAGCTCCAGATACGGGATACGATTGATGCGAGAAACGATATAATAATTCAACGATAGCCGCAAACCATCACTTATTAGCGATTAGCTTACGATTTTCTAGTCTTTTGTTAACGGGAAGAAATAATTCGAGAGCGAGAGTGGAAAGAGCAACGCGCTTCGCTTTCTGCGGCCGACAGTACCGAGAGCGAGATAAAAGTGATAAAAGTAACAAGCGACGCGGGTAAGAATAAGCTTGTAGGCTCAAGTTATCCATGATTGGAAAATTGTCCGCGTACCGGCGTACGCGGACAAGTATTCTTTGCCCCATCTTTCTAGCGGGACTCCCGGGAGACTCCCCATCGTGCGCTTTCGCTTCGGCGGCGCTCGCGAAGTGGCCATCAACGTGACGTGACGCGTGCTCCAGGAAGAGCGGGAGTTTGTTGTTTCAACAAAGGGTGGAATCACTGTGGCACGTAACTATCCGTGAATCTCCTACGCTCTAACACTCGCAGTGTTTTGCCCCGGGGAAGTGGCTGCAGGTGTTCGCGTCGTGTCTCGCTCCATCGACACTCCTACGGTGCTCGCGTAGCGAGGTTTAATTAAGCCCCTTAATTAACGCGCCGGGTGCGTCTCACGACGGAGCGCAAAGTGCTCGTCCATCTCGAGAGGACGGGAAGAAAAGGGATAAAGCGAGCGTACTTTTTGTCCCGCCGACCATCCCGTCGCCACCAAGTGACGCCACCGCCCGCGCCACCGAGAGAGAAAGGAACAGGAGGAGAGTGAGAGAGGATCCGTGATGAGTAGTATGTTTCCGCGTGTTCCATTGCCACGGCAGCTTTTAACTCGACCAACAACAGTTACAATTCAATCGTGCTGTTGGCTGATCTCCGAGGAAACCTTATATATACGCACCGCTTCAACATGGTTATATATTTGACGATTACAATATCACACACACACACACGCACACACGCACACACGCACACACTCGTCGTGTATCCGCGCATCGTGCGGTCCTGAAAAATTTGGCTGAAAAATGTCGCTAAAAAAAATGAGACCTCCGATCTGTTTCCAACGGATAAAAAATTGTTTATAAGGGATATATATATATATATATATAATCTTTTTTCATAACATCGCTCGAAAAATGCAGAAAGTTAGACCGGCCGCACGGGTCTGCACAAGCCTTATACTCTCGAGGTGGGAGGTTCCGCACTATGACTATGATAAATTATACAGTAGTGACTATTGATTTCACCGCGGCTAAGGTCAGACACTACGGCAAAATCGAGTTCGAAGTAACCACCGGCCCCTGCGAACAAATTCAATCTTCCTGCTCCTGCAACTAACCTAGCCTCTGTGTTACGTCTGCGCCTTACATCTGAGAAAGTCTCACTGATTCGTACCGAAGGAGCGAGATCTCTCGGTCGAGTGTCTTGTTAGATTCGCCGTAACTCGTAAAGTCGATGTGAAAACGAAGACAAAGGCAGAATGTAACGTTAACGAATCCGTCGCTGTCGAATTACCGGATAAAGAGAACAAGCGGCGAAATGCGCACGACGATGATTCTGTCATGTCGGGATTTGCGCGTTTAACTTTACATTACATTAACCTACGAGTCCAATAACAATTCTTGTCAAAAGTTTTCGAAAGAAAGAAAGAACGGAATGGAAGAGAGATATATCCGGCGCATACTGCTACGTTCGTGACTTTGCTGCTAGCAGGTCCAATAAATCTCTATCTGCGACAACGCGTTGTATTGATTTATTTCCGCCAGCAATAATCGTAAAAAGTTAGCGTCGCGCGACATGTTGCGGTGTTGCGGATGTTTGTCTCGTTCGCTCGCTTCGCGCCGGAAACGGCAAGGACTTGCGCCGCATGGCACTACGCGCGCGGCGGCGCGGTGTATAGGCGAACAAAAAATATCTTCCGTTTGCTCGGGATAATATTCTTAAGACGACGACAAGTCGTCGGGAAATCCGGACTCTCAATCTCGCGCGAATCGTTTCCGAATTCCGCAGCTATCTTTAGTGCGAGAGAGATACATTCGCTTCTTTGCCTGCTCCCTTTGCTCTCGTGCATACATAAACAGGCGATGCAAGGACGACGAATATGACCACACACGCGTTCACTTTGTACTTTGTCACGATGCGGTACATGCACGACACCATATCATGACGCATATCTAAGCAGGCATAGACCGACACTTGGAGAGTTGAGAAATGTGACCCGAGTGTATCTCTATTCTTTACGTGTCTTACGTGTCTCAACTAGTTTTAACTAGAATCTACCCTTAACCCTCCTCTCCTCCCTATCTCCTCGTGTTTAATAACGTTCCGTCGCGATATCGCACAACTCTAGACACTCGAGAATGCGAGAACCGCCGATGTATATCGCCTTCTCACTCTGAACTTTGCAAAATTACGCGTTGCATCGTTTTTGCTCAGTCGTGAGGGCTGCCCCCTCCTCACCGATGGTCGTGCGAGCGCAGATTACGGGGTGACAATTAACAAAAACAACACTCACCGTCTTTCCTGTAGTAGAGGATCTCGAAGTGTTTTTCGACGCCGGCGGCGAGGGCGTCTCGTAGGGCCGCGACCGCGTGCGGCGACGTCATTGGTCCATGGAGGAAGTCGCAGACCGCCGGCCTCTGCATCACTTCCGCCCTTGAGAAGCCCGTCATCCGACAGAAACCGTCCGAGCAATAGATAATGTGGCATAGTCCCTGTTGCGCGTTTGCCACTAAAAAGCTTCGATCTGAAACCGAGAGAGCAAGAGGATCGGTGAGAGATTCAAGAGAGACGGTTCGTTCTCGCGAAATTCTTCGAAAGTGCGCGCTTCGCAACCGACAGCTTTTGACAGGCGGACGACGCGATGACGGATTTGTTTTTTCAAGTCGTAGCGATTTTCAAAGCGAAACGAGATAAAGAGGCAGAGAGAGAGAGAGAGGCAGAGAGAAGTCGGAAGTATTTCGGTCCTAATAATGGCGGCATAGCCGCACAGTGGCATACGCGTGGTTGTATCCGCCGAGTCTCTTCACTAACTCATTAAGATACGCAGCCGCGAATGTGTATTCTCGGAGTACCTAAAATTAACGATTCGCCGTAAGCCTATACAAGATGGACGCTTCGCTCGTTAACAATAATCCGGGAGCGCATTTATATTTATCCTCGATCGGGGAAGAGGGGACTCGCTCGCGCGAGTGTGGACACGAACCACGTCGCCCGGCGCGATTTTCGATCGAGCGCGAATAATGGCACTTGTCTGTCTCTCGACGTATACGCTTCAATAAGCATTCGAGGTCGGGCTTCTTTGGCGTCTTAAGGCCGACGCGACACCGCGACGACGAATTCGGAGATTCGCACGATCGACCGTGTGATCGATCGTCATCATGGCAACAACGCGCAACGGACGTGCGTAAACGAAATCGCCGGATCCGGCGTTCGCCGCTCCGAACACGTTTAGGACGTCGTGACCTTCGTCCTAAATCCGGCGACAGGCCGAAAGTGCACACCATAAAATATTTCTGTGCCGCGGCCATTAAGGCCGTCTGCCACGCGATCGTCGCGAGCCGCCGCGGCCGGCTTAATTCGAGACGATGCGTCGCTCGCCGAGACGGCGCGGGTCGTCTCCGTCGCCTTTTACGCGCGCCTCGTCAAACGGACGCGGATTATCCGACATTGGATATATCGCCGGGGGTAGCTGGAATCTTTGAGCCTCTCTGAGGCGCCGCAAAGCGCGGAATGACCGACTTTATTTCCTGTTGACAAACCCGAGCGCGGCGCGTCAGCCACCGTCGACGTACGTCGTCGTCGTCGTCGTCGTCGTCGTCGTCGTCGTCGTCGTCGTCGTCGTCGTGATCAACCCCGCCCCCGTCACTCTGAGAATTTATATCGAATGCATGTGACTCGCTCGAGCAGTTATGCTAGAGAAACTTCGTAAATGATTTTCTACATAGAAACGTAGCGTGTTCGCGGCGCCCCGGGCTTTTGTTCGTCGACAAATCGCACGGATGGCACGAAAGACTCAAGACTTTAGACGCGCGAGACTACCTCTCGGCTTCTGAATTTGGTCTCTCGCGCACCTGTCCGAGGATCGCGAGTATGTTCCTTCTCATTTCACCTTGGCGTAACATCTCCAATGACTGGGGATTTTTGCAAATTTTCGAACGAAAACTCATTCTCGACGAAAGATTGAATTGACTAATTGAATTGAAAAGAACGCGAGTGGATGGCAGAGTTTCACGCGGGCCTGCGATACGCGCCATCGATGCAAAAAACACAAGTGCGCAGCGTGACTCGTAGAATGCGAGCTCTATTTTTAAAGCGATAAACATTCTTCTCGCGCAAAAAGCAATCTCATACAATCTCGTGCCGAAACGTCGCGCGTTTGAGAAAACGCGAGAGCGCGGATAATTAATTATACGCTTCGGTTCGATTTTGAGGACCGCGACCACGCACACGCACACACACACAGGTTTCACACGTGGTGTGGGCAGACTCGCGCGCGTTCGTTCTCGCTGAATATTTCGGCGGGTTTAGAACGCGCGGGATCGAGATATTAATACGCGCCGCGACCATTTTCAAGTGCATTTCAAGTCTTCTGCCGTTATAGCGCACCAGAATTCAGCAGAAATGTCAGTCGCGCCAAGCGTCAAACTGCTTTGCGTGCCACGGGCGCCGTCGCGCCGCGCCGGTGCGCCCTCATATTCCTCCGTGTTACGTACCTGAGCATTCTGCGAAGGACAATCGAGTTTAATGAAGCTGAAATTGAAAATACGACGGTACGCGCGGCACGCGGCCCCGTGTAAGGTTAACAGCGCGCGTCGCCGGATGTCCGGAACAACATCCCCTCGTATATTGCGTGACTCGGTTCCTTCGCTTCGTTGCACTCTACGTTGCGAATGCGGATTACGTCTTATCGAATTATTCTCTGGAGATCGACGCCGCGCTATCCGTGGCGAAGATGTGCCACGGCCACACGACTGCGTCTCACTCGACGGTTCTCGGACGACAGCCGATTCGATATATCGCTGTTGGCGACGAAAGTAGCGAAATTATCGCGAGCACGGCTTGTAATCGCGAATATACAATCCTCGCGTTGCTTCGCTCCGGCGCGCGCGCGCGCGCGAGAGAGAGAGAGAGAGAGAGAGAGAGAGAGAGAGAGACAGAGAGAGACAGAGACAGAGACAGAGACAGAGACAGAGAGAGAGAGAGAGAGAGAGAGAGAGAGAGAGAGAGAGAGAGAGAGAAACGATCACGCTGCGACTGAAATATTCACCGCGAGAAAACACTCTTCGCTGAGACATATCTGCGCAAAATATCGTAATCTTTACGAGGTTAAAAATGGACGACTCTAATGGTGGAAACATTTGGTCGTCCAAATTAAGTCGAATTATAAGTCGCCTTTTCTAACGGTGGATACGGCGGTGTATCGATCACTAGCAGTCGTAGTTTTCACGAGGTCGATCGTGACAACGATTAAAGATACCCCCGAACGGATTAATTGCTGCACGCCGCGACGGCCGTCGTGCTACTCCTCGCATCGATTGTCTATATTCCGCTCGTCCTGCTGTAGCGCGGAGGATGATAAAGCTAATTAATATTACGAAGCATTTGGAATGCGATCATTCTGAATATTGCGTGACTAGGTCCTGTTAGTCGATGCCTGTGCGAGATACGACACGGTATTACGTTACACCAAAATGCTACTTGGCGAGTAATTTTGATTTCATGCCGCTCAAGAAATTCCTCGATAATTGTTACACGTTATCAACATCTCTTAATTAAAATCCACTTGGATGCGAATCGACTTTTAATACTATATTATAAGTCACGATATCTGCCCTTACTTTTTACTTCTTTCTTTCTCCCTAGAATCGTATCACTTCACACGTAGAGATTAGAAAACGACGATTGCGATATACGGCAATACCGATTTTTAATTTTGCACACGTTAAATTTTATAACAAGTAAGTAAGAATAACGTGTAGGATGTGTAAACAACATGGGAGCCAGTCCCTGTAGACATCACCTTTCTTCTTTTGTTTATTTGCCTTATGCATACACACTAACAAAAGAACCGAATGAATAGACGAGCAGTTCGAGGTAGTAAACACAAAAAAAACAATAGACAGCATAACGATAATATAATTCGGACGTTCGTCGATGGAGGTCGAGCGGGATACGGAGACGCACCGAGTGCCAGAACACCTTCGAGTGACCTTTTTGGCGTAATTATCTCACGCGATAATTGATTAAAAATGGCGGCCCGAATGGGTATCCGCTGCGACGGCGGGCAGTCGGAGATCTCCAAGGGAAAGCGCACGAGGAGGATCACCGACGTATCCCCTGCCTAAAGCTCAGCATCCAGCACCAACCAAGGTACAATGGACATTAAGGGAAAGTGCACGAGATGTCTGCTCTCAGCTGCTGGGCTCAGATCACTTAGGTCATACCGGGAAGACGCACGGCGAACCCGGTCTGGTGACCAAGAAAACATCTGAATCGGACCGGTGTCGAAGGGGAAACGCACCACGAGATCGGTATTTGGGATTAAGAGAAACCAACTAATTGTGCAAGGGAACAATGCTCCACCCCGATCGGTCAACCGATGAACGATTAAAAAAACAATGATTTGATTAACACTCACCAACCTTCTGCACGAGTGGCGATAGCACGTCTCTTTCGGGCGTCCAACAGCGACTAACTGCCTACCTCTATCGCGACATCGTTTTTATGATCCGCGTCTCTATCTTCCAAATGTAAACACATCGTTCTCCCCACCATTGACCTCACTCGTTCTGATCGTTATTGTTGTTTCTCGACGCTCCGAATGCCAATTTCGGATTTTCATACGCAATATTCACACCTCGTGCTCGATATGAATGGTTAGGTTAGGTTATTAGAAGCAAGAATAAATTCAATATCTTCATTAGAATTCATTATATGCTTTTCTTCAGAGGACCCCAAACACACAACAACAGATCGACGGCATTCTTCAGGGAAGGAAAAGAAAAAGGGGCGAACAAGCAAAGGAAAAGAAAAATAAATAAATAAAAACGAATATATATCTCACACAAGTCTCACACACTTTGTTCTCATTTTCTCGATTATAATCTCAGGCGAGTGTACACCTAAAACAGCCTGCCGAGAGAGTGTGTGATTGGGGATGAAGAATTTATCCTGACTGTCGTTCGTTAGCCGGGAGGAACTCCCGGCTCTGAAACAACACTCGACGCAGCACCTTCTGCGTGCGGCACTTTAATCATGATTAATACTGTACCCGCCCCCCCCCCCCGCGCGCTTCAGCTCCAACTAGCGGGGAACCATTGCTCGCTGTCGCAGACTAGATTAATTACAAACATTTTTCTATCTGCATAACGCGACGAAGCTGCGACGGGGAGCGTAAAACTTGCGGCGGTTCAACTCGAAACGCGATGCGTTTTAACTTTAAGCTTTGGCAGGCGCGGCTCGGGGTCGCGCATTAATTTTTTCCTTTCTTTCATAAACAACATATAATTCCGGTCGACGTAAAATGCTTCGTCTTTTAATTAAAAATATTTTAAAAAGTGTAGCACTTTATACATGCGCATACCCACAAGCGTAGAACAAAGGCGTGGAAAATAAAATAATAAGTATCAGGACGATAAAACGATTAACGAAGCTTGTTCTAAAAAATTTGGAACGCAGCTTTATATCATTTCACGTATCTTTTTCTTCCCCCCCCCTCCCTCCCTCTCTCTCTCTCTCTCTCTC